TTGAGCTCTGAGCAACAGCGGTTCGAGTCCAGCCCGAGCTGAGCAGCTGCTGAGCTGCCAACAGGTAGCAGGATGGCTCAGCTAAAAAAATAAATAAGTAATAAAAATCCCCAGTAAGGATGTTCTCCATCCGGGGCAGCAACAGAGAAGAAGAACCTAGGACTCTTTTTAATAAAGAAAACCACAGGCAGGCACCCAACTCTAGCCCTGGGGACACAGTGATGGTAAGCCCTAGGACCAGAAGGGAGAGGGAGAGAGCCTGAGAAAAGGGAATGAAATTTGAGTAGTAAAAAGCTGTTTTTGTAAGTTTCTCATGGTACCAAGATTTGGCCAAAATGTCTTTTGTCCTTGGTTTTAAATTACAACCAGGAACAAGGCTGGTTTCTGGGGTTTCCCTTTTCTCTAAGGAAGAGACAAGTTGGGGACTGAGGTGGACCCCACTCTAGAATGAATGACTAGCCTTGTGATTTTTAAATTTTTATTTACATAAAGCTAATCAATTTCTCCAACCTTGTCCCTGTAGCTGAGATCTAAAACGACTCAGTGGATGAGTGGATGTGCAGAAGGTTTGGGTGTTTATAACTCATGACCCAAAACCTTCTAAGACACAAATGAAGCTGATCTTTCTGTCTCTCTCTCCCTCCATCTCCGTGTGCGTGTGTGCGTGTGTGTGTGTGTGCGTGCGTGCATGCATGTGTGCATACGTACGTGCGTGCGTGTGTGTGTATGTTCAGAGAAGCAGGAGGCGCTTTAGTGTAAGTATTTTAAGTGCTTTAGCTGAACAGTGTTTTCACGGATCACCTTGTACCTTGTACCTCGTTTGTATAGTCTTCACTGGACTCTTAAGTTTGTGGACTGTAGAACTGAAACTTGGCTTTTGAAGGGTTGGGGTGGGTTTTTGGTTGGTTGGTTGACTGGCTGGCTGGCTTTTGCTGGGCAGCAGTCAGGATTGGATCAGCCTCACACACAGGATCCGCGGTCCACGGCTGGAGTGTTACTTCCTGCAGGTCTAATGGCCTCCCTCACCAGCCTGCCTCCCTGCACCCCACAAGTTTGCCTTGTGGTTTTGTCATCAGTAACCCACTGCCTGAGATCATGATCTCTTCAAGATGAGACTCTCAGAAGGGTTGATGGTTTGCATCAGTGAGCCTTCTGTCACTTTCTGGAATGAAGTCACTTGAATTTCTGTACCGGAGTAAGGAGCTTAGTATGACTGAGGAAAAGAAGTCTGCCTTCTGCCCCCAGCAGCAGCTGGGTTTTCTGGGCTCTGACTGCAGAAAATGGACGGTGCTTCCTGGAGGACTCCAGGGAGGTGTTCAGAGGCCCTTCCCCCGCTCCTTTCTAATTTTAATCAGCTCTTGAAATAGTTGCCCATCTCCTGTGATTGCACAACTCCTCTCTGACATTTGCGCCTCAGAATGTTCACGCGGGACCCAAAGACCAAATGGGCTGGGGAGGTGTGTCAGGGGGTGGACGCCCACTGAGAGCTTCTCAAGCTCTCCTCTGCCCTCACAGTCCTCGTGCCAGGCATGACGATAAGGTTTCAGGGGCTCTGGACATAGTTTCCTGATTTGCCAGGAAAAACTCCAAAGCTGTGGAGGAAGCAGGCCCTGGCCCTGGCTCCATGAATACCCCGTTGGATAAGGAGAAATTGGATAAGGAGAGAGCAGAAGCCATCCTAATGCCCTGCGCCAGCACAGCTGGCCAGCCATGTCGCTGCCTAACCAGAGCTGCTGCTCTCTGCCCGCTGGAAAGGCCAGCCAGAGGTCAGCACGTCCCCACAGCCCGGGCCTGGCCGCCACTCACTGCGGAACACAGCAGCGGCCTCTTCCAGCCCGAGGGTCTCGCTGCTGGGTGGGCACTCACCTCCGTGCAGAAGGCCCCAGGGCCAGTTTGTGTCTCAGCATCATCTGTGCCTCCAAATGCCATCGTAGCTGCTTGATAAAATCCTGAAAACAGAATATGTGGTTCTCCACCGCGTAAACACTATTACAATCACCAATGTGTTAAGACTCTTTAACCTGTTTCCCATATCAGAGTCGTTATTTTTCTTCCTGTGGAATAAAATGCTTTGTTGACTTCTCAGAAATGTTGTTTTCTTCTGGTTTCTTGGTGTTCTGTAGGTTGTAGAACCATCATCAATGGCAAATGCCAATCGTATTACGTTCCCAATACCATATGCTCCCTTTCCCCGCGCCCCAGGGAAGCTCGTTACTGGGGCAAAGCCTGTACCTTGAGCCGTCCTTAACTGTACAAGAGTCGGCAGCACTTGGCGTTCTCCAGGCCCCCGGCTTTATGTCGGCGGCTCCCCACCCCGCCGTTCTGAGGGTGCTGGCCTGGGCCCCGGCAGGATGGGAACTGCCATTTACTAAGGAGGGAAGACTTCAGGAAAAGCAGGTTTGGAGCTCACTTGGGACATGTTAGGTTCAAGGTGCCTCCTTGATATCCCCAGGAGACTGTCAAGAAGGCAATCGGCCACAGGAGTCTGGAATTCAAGACGAAAGTCCAGACCAAAGGTGCCCCATT